GGAGTGTTAAAACTCCCCTGGATTCTGTTACTACCAGGAGGACCATTGATAAAATGCACAGCCAATTGAAATGGAACGCAAGACATTTATGCACAGCCGGATCCTGCGCTTTGGGTCTAGTTGAAACCTGGAGATGTGCAAAATGAGGACTAGCTACCCTGCCAGCAGGAACCTCCCCCAATTACCCCACATACCAGCAGGCCTGCGGCCTTAGCTGGTAGGGAGTGGAACCACTTTTTGGCCCTTCCCAGAACCACATTCTCTGGAGGCTCACAACTTTCAAGACAACTTGAGTTACTGCCAGTGGTGAGTGGGTCATTTCTGGGAACGCTGCTTTGGGGGTGGCTCTCGGAACCCCTAAGTGGCACCCACTTCGTGCCCAGAGGAGGTGTGGGTTTTATTGGCTGTGATGCCAAAGAGGTCCTTACCTGCCAGGGACCAGTCTGGATGGCAGCCAAGCCGGCTTCTTTGGGATGTTTTCCAGGCCTGGAGAGAAAGGCTGCAGTTGAGTCTCTGCAGCTCTAACTGCTATTCCTGAGATGCCTCCTTGTCTGATGTGATTCCTGTGCCTGGGACAGAGGCCACAGCCATTTCATGGATGGCAGACACTGTTAGGTGTAGCCCGGATAGTCAGCTCAGGGGCCAAGATTTTACGAACTTGGCCCTTCAGGGAGGCAGCAGGGTGTAATGGAGACATAGCCTTAGAGCCAAACTTCCTGCATTTGAATCCTAGCTTTGCCACTTACTAGCTGTACACCCTTGGGAAAGTTACTTAACTTCTCTGTGCCTCGGTTTCTCACCTGTAAAAAGGGGATAATCATAGTACCTACCTCAGAGGTTGTTGTGAGGCTGAAGTGCTTAGCACACTGTAAGCGCTTGGTGAGTGTTGGTTGTCGTTATGTGCCATGTGAATAGGGTGGCCTGATTGTGGTTTTTCAGGTTTGGGAAAGGATTGCAGAATTCCCGAGGAGCCCTGTATGAGTGTTGAGAGCAGTGGGAGAGCTGTCTTTCAGAGTCCACCCTTGATAGTATCTGTACCCTTTCCAGTGCCTGGTTTCTTTCGATCCTTTATTACTTTCCCGTTGCTCACTTGGCCAGTATACTGCCTGAGATTCAGGAATGTGTGTTAGGAATCAGAATATCAGGGTTGGAAGCCTGACTCAGCCACTTACACCACTTACAAGTTACCAGCAAGAGTAACTTGTCCTTGGACCAGTTACTGAACCTCGTTGAGCAAGAGTGGAGAATCTGGGGTGACTGCAGGCCGCTGGGTATCTCATAAAGGCAGGGTAAGTACGCATCCTAGCAGGCTTTCTGCAATAATAAAACAAAGCAACGCACATTGGGAATACCTGGTGATTGATTCTCCCCTGGAAGCTAAGACTTACTTGGGTCTACCTACTCATGAAAAGGAATCCAAGTGATTTTTACCCTTCCTCCCTCCTTTACAGTGAGAGGTGGAGTGGGAAAAGCCCTGGAGCGGGAGTCAGGAGACACGGGTTCTATTATACGCGGTACTGCGTGCACAGTATTTGCACAGGACCCCGCACAGAGTAAGAGCCGAAAAGATGGACTTGATCAACTGCTCAGATCCGTGGTATTGGGCAGCTCAGGGACCCTGTTCCCATTGTATTCACCGTGACCCTGAGCTGTGGAGTGAGCAGGCCTGTATTATTAGAATTGCTGACAACAGTCCTGGCTTAACCACCCACTCCCTGGTGACCCTTGTTTCTCAGCTTCCTGTCTCATAAAATAAGGATCTTGGACTTACTGAACTTTGGAGTTCTTACAGCTTTAACATGATACGCAGGCGTATGATCAGACACACTGTTTTATCATCTGGGTTCATTTTCTTCACAGTACTTGGCACTCTATTTTCAGATTTCTGCTTCTTTTTTTACATCTTTATTCTTTTCCCCGAACGCTCCCTATCCTCACTTCCAGGCCCCTAGAAAGTAAGCTGTGTGAGAATAGGGACCTTGTCCGTGTTGTCTGTCGGTGCCTAGGACAGTGGTTGGCACATTTTAGGTGCTGAATAAATACACACGCACACACACACACACACACGCAGAATGTGTATCTCTGCATTTATAACGCAGTTACGTAAATTTGCCTATACAGACTTAGGTTGTTGGTTGATTATACCCCCCTCCCCTCACTCCCCGCCCCAAAATACGCCATGTTGTTGTCGTTTGGAGATTGTGAGAGGAGAATTAAAAATGGTGGTAGTGTCTGTCTTAAAAGTTAGCCACAGTAGCAGTGCCAGGGTTCTCACCTGGTGTGGCAGGTGGTGTTAGACGACAGTGACTCCCAATATCAGAGGAAGCCCACACATTTACGGCTGAGGACACTTTCCTGTGATGGTGACGTGCTCAGCATCTGCGGTCTAGGTTGGAATCCACTTTCTTCCGTTTATATACGTGGTGGAGATGGCTGGCAGGAGGCAAAATCTGTAACCTTAGAATTCTGCTCATACATATTATTGAGATTTCATATTGCTTTCATTATTTGGCCACAAAAATGGACGTAATCCTCATTGGCTTTAACACACCTACTAGTACTGCTTTCGCTATCCATCTTGCAAAATATAAGACAAGGCCAGAGCTTAAATTAAAATCCTCGGCTTCTTATCTCCTTCCCACAGGAAAGCAAATCTGTGTTGAAAACCGTAAAATTAAGAGGAAAGCAAGGATAGCATAATTTAGCAAAAATTCATGGCACCAGATTCTGAGCTATATGACTGGAGGGATAGGTCAGACATTAAGAAGATACTGCCTGCTAATGCTAGTTCCTTAAGGTGGTGCTCTGGAAACAAGAAAGGCATGCAAAATATATATATTGCGAGAAGATTTCTTCCCTGCCACTCTTTATAACTACTCTAAGAAATTATCTTTGTAGACTGTTAGGCAGTTATGCTTCTCTGAGACTTCTGAAATAAAACTCAAAACAGTTACGCTATAGTTGAAATATATTGGTTTTAGCATTTTGGTGTTGAGATTTTTGTTTCCATTTTAAAAAACGGTTTGTAATATGAATGTCCTCCTGTCCCCACCCCACCCCCCACCTCCTCTAGCATTCTAAATTCCGTGTATTTAAGAAGCTCATCCTGTGTATTTGGTGACCTACAGCATTAACACTTGAAAAGCATCAAATCATTTTTTAACCTGTTACGGATTGACATGCATGGATGTCTTTGCTGAGGTATATAGAGGAAAATCATGTGGCTTTGATGATGGTGCTGTATTTAATAAATGCCAAGGGCTGTACAAGCTATGCAAGTTTGCCATTAGAGAGGAGCTAATAATTATAAAACAGAGGAAAGCTAGTATGGGAATTGCATCATTGTCTAAAAAAGTGTGTTTTTTTTTTCCCCCTTGCCTTTTTTTTTTTCTTACAAGTTTCTTTTCGGTGTAGGTTGTAATGATAGGTTGTAAAGAGAATTAAGTCTTACTAGGATAATCGTTCCTAATTTTCCTGAGGGTAGTCCTGACCCTTTGGAAGCCACATACGTTTTGTACCTAATTTGTAAAAAATAGCAAATAGAAAATAAGTGTGTGTCATAGTGCAACCACCATACACACGTTGTTACTGGGACCCTTGTAACCGTGTCAGATGCGTGCCTGCATTTTAAACAGTTTACATTGCACAGTTTTTCAGGTGTGTCTTCAGTTTTTTTTAATATGGATATTTGCTTCTGGAGAAACAGATGTAACACACATTTTAGTCTATAGTATAATAAAATCTCACTAATTCAAACTAATTATGTTGAAGGCATGTCTGAACTAGTGAATTAGAGGATATTCAAAATTCATTCCATTCTATTCCCCGTAAATTCACAAATTTCTCATTATGAGAGTGATTCTCCATAGAGATTTTCCGAGACTGCTTTAATTAATAGATGAGTGTAAAATTAGAAACATCTTTTGCATGTATATAATTGTGTGGGTTTCCTTTCTTTTCTTTTTTATTCATGTGTCTCTATGTTGAGCTTCTTAAAAACGATCCCCTTAATTAGGTTAAACCTGCCCAAGTCTTGTTTACATTATTGATTTACTGAGCAGGCACTGTCTTGAAAAAATAAACTTTACCCAATCAAAATGATCACAGATTCCAAATTAATAAAGTCCAAATAAATGACCTGAACCTTTTACTGTTAAGCAGTTTTAGACTTCCAAATTAAATAATAAAATTTATTTTTAAACAAGTATAGACATGGAAAGTATGTTAAAAGATAAAAATGTTAACAATTTTGGAAGTTCTTGCAGACTGTATTTCATATTATCCAGTTAAATGCAAGATTGGAAATCCCCTTTGATCAACTAAGACATCTAGAAGTAAAGAGCTAGAAGCTGAACTGAATAGGGTCTAAACTGTAACGGTCACGTCTAATTGACAAAGCTAGTTGATAAAACATGAAAAAAATGGTGTAAAATGGTTCTTAAAGATGTACAACTATATACAGTCATGAGTTTATGACCTAAGAGGATATCAGTGCAGCAAATTTATATTTATTGGGTTATTTATAAATAAGTTTGTTTGTTTGTTCATAGAACAATTTTTGAGTGCCTTTTTATGCCAGACATACTGGCATACATACATACATAATGAATAAAAAGCTTATAAAACATTCATAACTTTTGCTCCAGTAACTCTTGGCTGAAGTTAACCTCAGATAAGCTAAAAGAGAGTGTAAACATGTATGTACACAGATCATGTCATATGGAATAATAGTGACCCACCTGAATCCCCAAAGGGGCCTGGGTTAAGTAACTGGTAGTCTTTTGGTATGGTGGGACAGTCATCTATTTGAGGAATGTTTAACATGGAAAAATTCTGAAGATTCAGATGTGTACAGCAGATGATTGCAGTTGTCCAGGCTCTGAAAATGATTGCAGGCTTATGCCGATGGCCAGTTACTGCTGTTGTGTGGATTTTTCTATGGGAGAGGACACATGAGCTGAGCATCGTCATTAACTGTTGACTTTGTTGTTACTTTGCAGTCAAATAAAGTGCCCGTGGTGCAGCCATCCCATGCGGTCCATCCTCTCACCCCCCTCATCACTTACAGTGACGAGCACTTTTCTCCAGGATCACACCCGTCACACATCCCGTCAGATGTCAACTCCAAACAAGGTGAGAGCACCTGCCTTCCAAACCCCGCCCTTTCTCTGAACAGGGTGCCAAGTCCATCAGTCAGTCCCCCTGTGGTGCCCAGATGACTCTACCAGTGTCTTTGCCCCATGCCACTGAGTGGATCAGAGTACGTTTGTAGGAGACAAGAGTAATTTACTTGATAGCAATTCCCTATAAACCCACAAGAATCTGTCGTTGCTTCTTTTATTTTTCAGAATTAAAAAAACAGAAGAAAAGCATAGGAGGGTCACTTTCACTCAAAGTGACAGCTCAAAATCTATGATCTATAATATAAGCCAGTCTGTTGTGCAGATACACAAAAAATGGAATCCTCAGGGCCCCTCCAGTATCCATTTATTTCAGCTTGTACAAGGTGTTGATGGAAGTGTAAAAGATGTTAGAGAAATGACAAAGTAGAAGATTCTCACCTCAGATGTTCTCTTTTTCAGCCTTCTGTGATGTCTTTTGGTCATTCAGTTATAACTGTTGTGTTTTTTCTTCTTTTTTTAAAATTTATCATTTAGATGTTGTAAATAATAATTCAAGTATAAAACCATTTGTATTTAAAGTTGGAGCACCATGAACCATATTTGGCTCCTTTGCATTACTACCAAGTTCTGCTTCTGTGTCATTTATAGAAAAACATACAGCATAGGGGGTTTGAAAAATAATCAGTTCTGCCTGATGTGTACGGGTGTGGGTGTGGTTGTAGGACACAACACTTGGGTTCTTCAGGCTATCTGGTCTGGTCAGCTTAGGGTAAACTTCGAGGATTTATTTGCTCACAGGTCGGCCTTTGCTCTTTCTGTGCATATGCGCCCTCCAACCTCACCAATATCTTGGAGGTTCCAAATCAAAGATCCTATAAAACCAAATAAAAACGAGAATGTGAAGGTTTAAAATTTCCTACCTCCTGGATTTCACCCATTTGTCCCTGGGTGGCGCAGGCAGTTAATGTACTTGGCTGCTAACCCAAAGGTTGTAGGTTCAAGTTCATATCGAGGCATCTCAGAAGAAAGGCCTGGCCATCTGCTCCAGAAAAATTAGCCATTGAAAACCCTATGCAGCATAGTTCTACTGTGACACACATGGGGTTACCATGAGTCAGAATCGACTTGACAGCAACTGGTTTGGTTTTTGTTTTCATCTTTGACTTTTAGTGGACAACAAAATTAAGTAAGCAGGTGAAAGAAGAGTGGAGTTAGTAGGGGATGGGTGTTCTTTCTGTTACTAATAACGTTTTGGAGTTAAAATCTTAACACCTTCAGTTTCCTCCATTGTTCAAATGAAAAACGTACTTAAGGAATTAGTTACTGCTGGATTTCGACTAGTATGATGGATGGATTGAATTGTATCTGCCATAATGTGTGCCAGCTTGGTTAGGCCATGATTCCCAGTATTGTGTGATTGTCCACCATTTTGTCATCTGATGTGATTTTCCTATGTGCTGTAAATCCTGCCTCTATGATATTAATGAGGCTGGATTAGAAGCAATTATATTAATGAGGCAGGACTCAATCTACAGGATTAGGTTGTATCTTGAACCAGTCTCTTGAGATATAAAGGAGAGAAGCAAGCAGAGAGGAGAGGGACCTCATGCCACCAAGAAAGAAGCACCGGGAGTGGAGCACACCTTTGGACCTGGGGTCCCTGTGCTGGAAGCTCCTAGACCAGGGGAAGATTGATGACAAGGACCTTCCCCCAGAGCCAACAGAGAGAGAGAGAGAGCCTTCCCCTGGAGCTGGGCCCTAACCTGAGAGAATAAACTTCTGTTTCTTAAAACCATCCACTTGTGATATTTCCGTTATAGCAGCATTAGATAACTGCGATAACTAGAGTGGAGCCCAGGTATCTTTTATTAACCAAACCAAAAGCCAAACCATTTGCTGTCGAGTCGGTCCTGACTCAGAGGCCAGTTGCCTATGCAGAGGCTTCCAGGTTTGCCCTTGTTGCTCATGCTGAATCCTCCCCTAGTCTGCTTGCTTTTTATCAAGGGTCTCCAAAGAATAAGAAACACCAAAAAGACAGGACTGTGGCTGTCTGGTAAGAAAGGAAACTAAGATAGGGATCTTAGGAAGAGGGCTGAGTTGAGAGGGAAGATCAAGAATATAACTTGGTGGCAGTGAGTTAAGGTGTCTTTGAGATATCTGATGGGAGACATGCGAAGGGCAGTTTAACATGTGGGTCGAAATCTCAGATCAGAGTCTGAGCTAGAGACAGGCACCTGGGAACCATAAAGATCTAGGTGATGATTAAACATAGGTATAAAAGTCTTAAACATACTATTAGCAAAAAAATCAAGTAGTATACTTACTTTTTTTTTGAACTATGTATTTAACTAACCAGGTATATAATGCTTACTATAAAGATCCTAGGCCCTGTTCTAAGCACTTTTAAACATTAACTTATTTAAGAGAAGAATACATCATGGCTCAGTAGTTGTTTTTCCGAAGAATTCTAGGACCATTCAGTTTTAAAAAGAAACCAGGTTATAGCTTGCTGCCAACTACACTTAAATTTTCCCTTTTCTTCCCGTCTCTACTGCTGCTGTATCTTGTTTTGCCTTTCTAACTGTAATTTATATCATTGCTTCTCAACCTAATTTTTTTTTTTTTTCAACAAATTCTCCCTAACTACAGAGAAGGAACTCATGGGCATTACCTAAAGTTGTCCAATTACAGTTTCTTTATTTTGTCCTAAAAATTTGTATGATTTTGCATTCCTCTCCATCTGTTCCTATTAGGAAGCTCATTAGTTTTCGCCTCTCGCTCTTTCTCCTCTGTGTGTGAGTGTGTGTGAGGGAAAGGAAGCTGACGCTAATCTTTTTTTTTTTTTTTGGTACTCATTATTAATCTGGTAAAAATGTTAAGATGTTTAAGGAAATACTGGGTTTAGGTACCTGTTTATATCTATGCATTACCCATTTTATCCTTACAAATAAATACAGACATTTATAGGGCACTTACTGTGTACCAGGCACTGTTCTGTATTACATGTATTAATGTATTTATTCCTCACAAGAACCCCTAATCTGTTGTTATTCTGATTTTACAAAACAATAACAATTAAATAACTTCTTCAAAGATAACACTGTTGAGTGAGTGAGTGGCAGAATTGCTGTATTAATCCAATCTTACTCTAAAATAATTGTATCTAAATTTATATAATTTTACTATAAAAGTTTTAAAATCTTTAATACTATCCGAATGCTGAGTATAGCCTCTGGCATATATTAGGTGTTTAGTAAATACTAGCTGAATCAATGATGTGAAATAAGTCTTCAGTAGCATGGCAGCTGGTGGAGAGGCATACACGTCTAGTTATCTTAGAAAAGCACTTCTAGGACTGTAAAACAACAATGAGATATTAGAAAACCCAGGTCCATTTTCTGCTCACTTAATCACCTAAGTCACATCATGTGCTTGCTTTAAAATGGTTGATAATATTGACCCTGCCTAGGGGATGGGTCAGTTTTAATTCACTTGTTTCATTCAGTCATTTAAAAATACTACCGAGAGCTCCCCCTCCAGAAAACTATGTTTCATCTGTAGATTGGTAAAATGTGGTCTCTCTTTTCCAAGCAGTGTATAAGCTCATGCAGGAAATCATTTGCACAGCCAAACTGTAAAAGAAAATGAAAAACATCCTAAGTACTATGTTAAAAGTACAAATAAAATGTTGTAGGTTCAAAGGAGAAAGATTTCTCAGAGCTAAAGAGTTAGAGACAATTGTATGGAGGAGGAGCATTTGAAAGATTAGAAGAATCTTAATAGCTACAGTCCAGTTTGGTGCAAACAGCTGAACACTCTTGGCTGCTAACCAAAGGGTTGGAGGTTTGAGTCTACCCAGAGGGGCCTTGAAAAAAAGCCTGCTGATCTACTTCTAAAAAGTCAGCCGTTAAAAATCCTGCTCTGAGAACACATGGGGTCACCATGACTAGGAGTCCCCTCGACCGAAGCTGATTTATAGGGCCTGGCATGTTGCAAGCACTAGATAAATGTTAGTTCCCGCCTTCTAACAGAGAAACGAAACCCATCTAGTTTGTATTTTTTGTTCTATTGAATCACCAGATGCTGTATTCTAAGCACACTTAGAATATGGACTAGAGTGGAGAGCAAAGGTTTTAAGCTTATCTGTTTAAAGACATGCATTGTGATGGCAAGTGAGTTAACCTCCCTGCATCCCAGTGATAAAATTGCTGTGCTAACACACATTTTATATGTACCCAAACAGGGTGCCTGAACTGTCACTTCTCTAGGCCTTAATTTCCACATCTATAAAATAAAAAGATTGAAATAGATAATTCAGATAGTCTGTGGTCTCTAAACCACCACCCATCTGTCCGTTTGTCACGCTGTGGCGGCTTGTGTGTTGCTATGAGGCTAGAATCTATGCCACTGGTATTTCAAATACCAGACCAGCAAGGCCACCCATGGTGGACAGGTTTAAGCAGAGCTTCCAGATTAAGATAGACTAAGAAGAAAGGCCTGGCAATTTACTCCCAAAAATTAGCCAGTGGAAACGTATAGACAGCAACAGAATACCGACTGATACAGTACTTGGAAGATGAGCCCCCGTAGGTTGGAATGCACTCCGAAATACACGGTGGCCACAACAATGGACTGGAGCACACCAACGATTGTGAAGAACGGCGCAGGACTGGTCACCGTTTCCTTCTGTTGCGCGTGAGGTTGCCATGAGTTAGAGGCAGCTTGACAGCAACTAACAACAGCAACATGATCTCGAACCATGATTTTCAAGTTAATACAATGAGACATTCAGATTTCCTGTAAATGTCTAAAGTTTTTCTGAGTCAGTCTGGTTTTTCTGTTCACACCTGAGCAATTCCCCTGCAGGCCCAGAGATTCAGGAAGTTGTCTGAATCTCAGGATGAGAGACAGCAAACTGGAGAGGCTCCTGGGTGATTAGGATATGTCAGGAATCACTACTGTAGACTCCTTAGCATCGCCTCTGCAACCAGAAGCCTTCCAGATCCAAGAAAAAAACTCCAGAGTGTGGAGTTTGGAGGCACTGTGACCGAAAGGATCAATATTTCTAGCTGTTACGGATTGAATTGTGTCCCCCCAAAATATGTGTTATAAATCGTAACCCCTATGCCTGTGGTTATAATCCCATTTGGGAATAAGTTGCCTGTTTTATGTTGATGAGGCAGGATTAGTGTAGGGTGTGTCTTGAGTTAATCGCTTTTGAGATATAAAGGAGATTAAACAAGAAAGCTAGGAAGCAGAGTGAGGGAAAATTGATGCCAAGACACGTGAAGATCACCCAGGAGCTCAAGAGAGACAAGGACCTTCCTCCAAAGCCGACAGAGAGAGAAAGCCTTCCGCTAGAGCCGACACCCTGAATTTGGACTTCTAGCCTCCTAAACCGTGAGAAAATAAATTCGTTTGTTAAAGTCATCTGCTTGTGGTATTTCTGTTATAGCATGCTAGATAACTAAGACACTAGCCAAAAATAAAAAAAGGAGATTTGAGACTATTAAAAACAGCAAAACGTGAGATGATATTATATAAATTCTGGTGAAAGGTGGTAAGACCTTTCTCTCTGCTACCTACTTTCCGTAAGAGTTCGGAAATAGTTTTGTTCCAACTTCAAAGTCAAATTAACATCAACTTTTAAGACAAACCTTCTTACTTAAGGTGTTCCAATATGTTCAAGGCCTTCTCTATCCTGTAAGATCCAAAAGAAATTCATAGGCATTTTAAATAGTAAAAAAAGCCGAATATTTTAATATTATATTCCACGTGCTCATGTAATTACACATACTGAGTGTATTTACAACCACTGAGTGACATATTCTGGGTGTTAAACCTTGGAAAGTGTGCTTATCTATGGAAATGGTCTTGTAAAGCCGTGATTAGATGTGTAAAGAAACTTATGGCTTTTTTTCTATTCAGAATCACTTTTATCCAAATTTATGAAGACTTAAGTTTTTATATTTTACATCCTTGCATATTGGTCTGACTCCTTTTCTTTTCTCCACCTAAGGTAAGGTATAAACAAAGGGGTGTCGTTTGGGACTAGGAGTTAGATATAATCTTGAGGTGGTTTTTACAGTTATAGGACAATGTGCTCCAGGGAGTGTGAGCTCCAGAAACAATCTGGTGGCACTCTCGTTTTCTGTGGAATACAACTAATCCAGAACAGCTTGACCTTCGTGCCCAGAGGACTCAACTTGATGAAGAGCTTAGTTGGAGCTGAAGAGGCAGACAGAGACCAAATGAATCATATCAAGTATGACCATTATGAGTCTGAAGATGATTCCTAATTAATCTTTGATCCCTCTGAGGTATCACATTTCCCAAATCTATGTGTCCATAGGGAACTAATGAAAATATGAAAGGGGCAATTTACCTAATCCTTGAGCACCATAGCAGGCTGTCTGCTGACGAGGGGCTGTCATTTCCCATACTACACAAAACAATTTCACATTCTCCACCAAAACAACGCCTACAGTTTTCTTAACCAAAGTGAAATAATGGAGGCAAAATAAATAATTTATAAGTCTACTTTGGTGACTGTTTTACTGGCAGCATATTTAACTCTTTCAGGAGTTCCTCAAGGTGTACTATCCAAAGACCTATTTTCTCAGGTCTTGGAATCTTGAGAAAAGCTAACAATCTGACTTCTGTTAAATGGATTCAGTGACTAAGTATTGTTTCATTCTAGACCTGAACTGTTAATGGCAGAAAGCATTTTATTGCTTTTCTGTTGCTCTGTGGTCAAATGTCCTGTGAATCTGAAAACTATACCTCCCCGTTTGTTGTTTTTGTTTTCAATAGGCATGTCCAGACATCCTCCAGCTCCTGATATCCCCACCTTTTATCCCCTGTCTCCGGGTGGTGTTGGACAGATTACCCCACCTCTTGGCTGGTAAGATCCTTCCTGCAACTTGCAGTCAGGCATTTGAACACGTCTTCTTCCACTTTCAATTCATGGAAATTAGCTTTTTAGATAGTAACCGCTTGTGGTGTTGAAGGAATTTCACATCAGCAAGCAAGGTGCTAACTTTATTTCCTTTCAATTTAAACGATTAAAAAAAATTACAGACTTTGAAATGGATTGAATCAGTTTCCTAATACGGGTAGAAAATGACTGTGTAGAAATTTGCTTTGAAGCTTATAGTTTTATGGATTCAATTTGTGGCTTTGGACATTTGCTTTGCCTGTATAAAGTTAGAGCTCAGTGTGGTTTTTCTTTTTCTAGTTTTTTATGAACAACTTATAATTTGGGAACATAAACTTAGACACATTGAATATCTCCCTTTTCTTATAAATAGGCAAGTGAGAAAAATGACAAGAACTAACAAGAGAGAAATTTATATAAAAGCATCTTTTCGAGTTTCAGAACGTGAACATCCAGTTTGAGTTCAAAAGTGAAAAATTCATGTTTGGGCTTTCTTTTTTCAGAACTCAAATTTATTTGGATTCATTTATTTATTTAAAATGTGAGTTTGTTTGGTTGTTTACATGTAAAAAAAAAGTTCTTACTGCTGCCTTTAAATTTTTTAAATTCTAAAGGTAAAGGAAAATCTGGGGAAGAAAGAATACTTTTATATAATGTGGCCTATTTTTATCATTTTATTATTAGCACATAACTTTCCCTCCTCGCACTCCTATCCCCTCTCCATTGCTCCTGTCCCTACTTCTCACTTCCTGAAAACAGTACTTCAACTTTAGCAAATGTTTTCCCCCCGTTTGGTTCTCTAGCCCCACAGCCCCTGTCCTTGCCACAATCTCCCTACCTTTATATCCTACATTATCTCGCTGCTTAAGCAAGGTACAGTCATCCTGCCATGGAAATTCTGCTTTCTCTCTCTCTCTGTCTCTCTCTGTGTCTAGCACTAAATTTCTCAGTCAGTAATTCTGTTTGAATTTAATTGATTATGCACATACTTTCAAACCTAGATCAATTATTCTGTCTGAACTTAGCTACTCAGGGGCAATAATCCTGGGCCGACTTGCACCAGTGGCAGCTGGAAATAAAAGCAGTCTAAAGGAAACATGTGAGATGCAGAAATGACAGAGAGAAAGATGGAATTCTCAAGGTGGAGAGAGAAGAATTCCAATGAATTGGGCTTTTTCTTCTTGACTCTAACATGGCTACATGAGGAGGGAAAGTGCCGTGTCCTGAAAACGTCCGTTCGTTTTAATATAAATATAAATTTTCACGTCCTCCTTTCTTCCCTTCCCTGAAATTCTCTAAGGTTCTGAAAAAGAGTTCACCAAGCTTCTTCTCTGAAAGCAGTATTTCCCCATTCTCAGGGTTCCGTTATATTCAATACGAAGTGCCTACGTTGTTCAAAGCGTTGTGCTAGGCATTAATGGGGTTGGGAGAGGAGAAGGGATGAAAGGCAGATAATACATGGAATGGTTTGCCTTTAAAGTTGAGGGTGGGGGATTTCCTTCAAGGCAAACGATGCGTGGATTGGGTGGAGGATAAAGAAAGGAAACAGTTATATAATTGAAGAAATTCTGTGGTCTGTAATACTCCCACAGATTCCCTTTGAATACTCCCTCTTCTTCCTGCATCGCCCTCGTATTGCTGGTTGGTAACTGGTGTTTTGTCATTGATGGGTTCCTTTCTTCTGTGACCTCAGGCAAGGTCAGCCTGTATATCCCATCACGGGTGGATTCAGGCAACCCTACCCATCCTCACTGTCTGTGGACACTTCCATGTCCAGGTAGGTGGAGGTGAAAATGAGCACTGGAGGACAAGTCGCTCTTCTCACGCTTGCATCTTGTGTGCCTCTGCTTGCCTCTTAGTCGGCTAGGAGGGTGCGTACCTCAACCTCGTGTCTGTCTGTGCAGTGCGCCTGGCTCCCACACTAGGGGTCATAGAGGTTCCTGGCTAGGATCCCAGTGCTGTGCCTCAGGGGACCAGCTATGCCCACCAGTGAGCTCGACTCATCCCACTGGGAGACACTGCCTTCAAAAGCATTTTTTGCGATTTCACTGTGGGATGTGAAACGTCCCAAAAGTGGACGTTATGAGAAGAGCTTGACTGATTCAAAATGTACTGGGAGTGGGGCAAAGTGTAGGGGGGATAACTACGGGTTTGGTCTGAGTTCTGTAATTTGCTTCCTTTGAAGAAAGTATCCATCTGTGTAATGCAAAGGTGGTTGAAGGTGCCCAGGTAATCTAGAGTCTTCCTGGACCAAGACTGTCAGTCAGATGAGAAAGAACAGTGCTCACAAGCTGTCAGGCCGTAACGGGTGTGGGTCCTAGTGTGTGAATCAGGCCCTGTGTGGACACATTAGTGCAAGCGAAGCTCTGTGAGGCCTGCTATGCCCCACGTGAGGCTGCTCTATGTAATGCTTTGCTTCTGGAAAGGATGGCTTTCGTGCCCTGTGCTTGATGTACACACGTGTGGTGTATCCTCTGTGTGTTCAGTGTGCCTTTTTCAAGGGAGCTAGCATTATTGTGCTGGAAGGCAAGCTGTTGGGCTTTTAACTGGTTGTGAATCTTTATTTTTTATGTAGGTATGAAACTCGCAGTTTCCGTGGTGAATTTACAGCTTTAAAAAATACACTGTTTGTTCAGTGAATTGTCAGTCTGGCTGTTGAGGGGGTTACGAAATTAATATCCTACCCTCTAAAATATATTCTATACTTATTTTTAATATTGTAAGAACTGTCGATGACAGGAGTTTCTCACAGGCAAATAACCAGCAGCACGTATTTTTTGAAACTACTGTTAGCAAAGCATCATTATTTGGTCACGTATTTGTATTTTTACCATGCTTCCTTAATTGTTCAAGATTTTTCCCTAAACTATTGCATATTCAAGCAGAATCTCTTTTCTCCTTCTCAGATGAAGGAATTAATTGTATAGGCCATGATGAAAGACCAAGAATATTATTCTTACTGAATTAAAGTTCACTTTAAAACAGTTTGGAAAGTAACAGTTTCTATAAAGCATATCCAAATTTACCCAAAATGCTCATTGAAAGTACTGTATTGATTTTATTTTTCTTGCATGGCAGCTTCCCTCTTTGTGTGGGCTGGTGGTGGATGTGCTACGATTATTTTCATGCTGTACAGGCATACTTGGGAAAAAGTAGCTATCTTTATGTATGGTTTGTAGCTTGATACAGAATTGTATCTATCATTTACCTAAATCCTTCCCTTCAGTTCTGTTATCAAGTTATCATAAGGCTAGACTTCTCAAACATTACTTTCTTCCTATATAGAACATCATTTTGGATGATATTAATGGAAACATAACTAAGTCGGGGACTGCAAAAAATCTCCCTTTGCCTTACTTTCTCTATTGTTGCCTCCTCAAGGAGCACTGGTGGTGCAGTGGTTAAGTGCCTAGCTGCTAACCAAAAGGTCAGCAGTTCAAACCCACCAACGCTGGGGGAGAAAAGACCTGGCTATGTGCTCCAGTAAAGATTACAGCCTCGGAAATCCTATGGAGCAGTTCTGCTCTGTCTTACACGGTTGCTGTGAGTTGGAACGACTTCTTGACAGCACACAACAATTACATTATTGAAGAAGCCAATGATACGAGAAAACTCGTAACATGACAGTTTGCTTGTGAATGGAGGCAGACGTTTTTAAGTGTGATGTCTTTAGCTTCCATCATAATAAATCTAAATAATCTAAATGAGATTACCTTAATAAAGTGTTATATATTCAATGATTGTTCTTACTGAAACTCATTTGAAAACTGCTTTGCAAGAAAAGTGATTCCCCCCCTTTTTTTTAATTCTGTGGCCTAGAGCCTTCTCAGGAAAAATGTCAAATTCTGCTACTAGATGGAAAAAAATTCTGTTATATAGGGAATAATTATAAATATTGTCCACCTGATAATAGAAAGTTAAAAAAAAAATCAGCCCGTTATAATGTATAGTTAACATTTCTGCATACAAAGGATGTGTTTTCACCCTTCACCAATAGCAGTTAGTAGATTGTTTTGGAATTATGTCGTGCTTTTGCTACAGTAGCCACTAGTACATATTGTTTTCTTCTCTTCCCTTCGTTTAGGTTTTCCCATCATATGATTCCTGGTCCTCCTGGTCCCCACACAACTGGCATCCCTCATCCAGCTATTGTAACGCCTCAGGTCAAACAGGAACATCCCCACACTGACAGTGACCTAATGCACGTGTAAGTACGCACCTGGCGTCATCTGCGGATGCCTCAAGATACTAAGGATTTAAACACTGTTTCTTCTTTATTATTGGGCCTTCCCCATCAATTTTATTATGAAAATCAGCTGTAGCTGTGCCTTGAAAGCTGTGTCCCTGAGGACATTAACGCTGCTTGATTCTCGCTGCCCAGATTTTGATGCTGAGATTAGAAAGAACTGACCTTACGTGATCACGGGAACCTCACCAATACGCAGGAACCAAACTGTCAGAGCCTAAACGTTGAATAATCTTGAGCTGTTCAGCCTTTACTACTAGGTTTTAATTCAGTTCAGGTTGTTGAGGAGCACCTGTTAGTACCTGACAGAAGTAGATTGGAGGTTTAATGCATTTGCTTCTGGAAGTGCAGTTGCCCTGGTTTGAGGCGTCAGAAGCACAGAATTCAAGGGAAAGGGGCAAAGCCCAGGGTTCCCTGTTGGGCCAGGATTGCCACAGGGTGTTACAGCAGGACTAAATTCCCTGAAGGGATTAGTAGTCGAGCTTCTTAGTCTTGGGTTTGTGGCCTGAGATGGGAGGGTGAAGGTTGGAAGACAGTATGGGATAGTATGCGAAGCCAGTCTGCATTTGTTTGGGGAAGAGGTTCTAAAGTTTCATTAGCTTCTCAGAGTGTCCCTTGACCCCAAGAAGGTTAGGAACCTCTAAGAACCTGAAAGAGGTATGATCATCTAAACTCTATATTCAGCGTCTTCTGAGGTGACCAAGGAACTCAGCCTCAAGGTCCTAGATGGAGCCTCTTAACAAACCCAAACCCATTTCCATTTTGCGTTAAATACTTCTAGAGCTGTAGATAAACGTTCTCAAGCCAAAGATTCCATATTCAAGAAGAGTCAGTGGGTAAATAGGAAGCCTTTTTGGTTTTGGTTGTTTGCATCATGGTGTTTCATCAAATGAACCAAGCATTGCTTTCCAAAGTTGATCATATTCTAGTGGCCTGTAGGGAGCCCAGAGGGTCTGAGTATGACTGGTGATGTAAACAGATGTTCTGCTTCTCTCCTCCTCCCATCTCTTCCTTATTCCCTCTACCTCCCCACCTCCACTCCCCAACCACCACCACAACCACCTTTTAGGAAGCCTCAGCATGAACAGAGAAAGGAGCAGGAGCCAAAAAGACCTCACATTAAGAAACCTCTGAATGCTTTTATGTTATACATGAAAGAAATGAGAGCAAATGTCGTAGCTGAGTGTACTCTAAAGGAAAGTGCAGCTATCAACCAGATTCTAGGCAGAAGGGTAAGTAGTATACCAGTGTATACCAATGTTTATGGTAACCATGTGTCTTAGTCATCTAGTGCTGCTATAACAGAAACACCACAAGTGGATGGTTTTAACGAAGAGAAGTTTATTTCCTCACAGTCAAAGTAGGCTAAAAGTCCAAATTCAGGGTGTCAGCTCCAGGG